TGCAATGGCATTACACGACCAATGGTATTGTACATCCACAACGTACACCAACCATAGAGACCCGAGCATAGTATATGTCTTTTTCGCATTGAGTACAAGCAGATAAAATAAAAAAGAGCTCACCTAGACGAGATCAAAAGCCTCCTACAATGCATGTACGGGAAAACAATAGTGCACACTGACTATAGGAACCCAATAATAGTGTACGTCCATTTCATATTGAATACAAGAAGATAAAATAGAGAAGAAGACCCAAGCATAGTGTACGTCCCTTTCATATTGAATACAAGCAGACAAAATATAGAATAACTCACCTAGTACCCCAAGGCCCAAGTTCGAGAATTCAAGCAGAAAGAAGATGTGATGCATGGTTTCACATTTCGATGGGTCTGACCGATCAAGACTTTTTGACCATTTTGGTCTGTAACCATTGATTTACTGGTTGGTTGTTGCCCTGCCCGTCTATAGATTGAAGACTGTCCATCCACTTGCTGTCGTAGATGTATAGGTGAAAATACCTACATTCTGATGGCATTTGTTTCGTATAGTAACAAAAAAGTTATAACCATAGTTTAGAGTTTATGTTACGTCGATTTCTTCTGCACAGTCGCTTCTGCTTTCTTTTACTAACTATTATTTGACGAACGATACCTACTATACATCTTCATGCCTTGAATTTATAATAACCAAATCGGTGCAATCATCCCCTTATTCTTGTTGGATGTAACTGATCTTTTTGTACAGTTCACGATTTTCTTTCGAATAAAATAACTGTGTCGAGTAACCTTGTACATGGCCAAACAAAAGAAATTATTGATATTAATTCATTTTATTATATCTCCTTTTAGTGACAAAAGTAATCTGTTATAATTGCTAAGAGTTTTACTCTCAAGTCAGGGATCAAAATTTATATCAATCTTAATGCATACATACATATATCATTACCTCAATTTCATATGTCACTCACTAACTCACTACAAGAGATGTCTGGGCCAAAAAGAAAGTCTGACAAGAACAAACAGAGATTAGGAGACATGATCTTATCAACCTGGAAGGGAAAATAGTAGAAATGAAACAAAACACAAAGAGATCGACAAGAGTAATTAACCTCAACAGGACAGGGAAGAGCGAACAAAAGAACAGAAAACGAAAAATAGGAAAGAAACGAAGGACAAGAAATCATAATATGATCGAGAGGCCACGCAAACATGACAGCACGACAAAGACCTTAACGGTTGTTCTTATCCGAATCAATTTCTTAGTTGATTTTCGCTTCGGTCGCTACCTCCAAATATCACAGGGTCACAATCCATCGTCGACGCTCCGTGCCTGGGTGTTCCTTTAGATTCAAACTTCCCTGGAAGTAGATCGGTGGCGGTTGGAAATTGGGAATTGTTTGTACGATTCTTTGCTCTAAGTTCGATTTGTTGTTCTCTTTTGCATGCAAATTTTAGCCAAAGCGTTTCTGAGTTTTTTTGAACCATGAATTGGATGTTGATCGCGATTCATGCAGATTCTAAGTAGCTGGCTAAAAAATTGATTTAAGTAAGTACCCAGAATATTTGGCATATTTATCCAGCTACTGTAATATTTAGTTTATGGTTGAATCTTGATTTAGGTAATCGAAAGTGACAACAACTTTCATGTACATTCACCATAGCACAAGAAGTATGAGCATATTTTTTGAATGATACAGTGGACTTTATTTGGCAATGAATAAACAGACAACAAAATTGTGCGAGTTCGGCGAAGAAAACGAACTCTTCGCCAATCTCTAGAAGAGTGGTCAACGAGGACCTGGCGAGGAAGCACTCCGACCAGCTAAACTCCGTCGCCAGGTACCGGTCATGTCGAGACGTGCCCCAGCCTTTCTACATGCAGCTCCATGCTACCACCGTCACCATGTGCCCTTCATGCTAGTGCGTCACCACGACCAACACCTCCACCGCTTTCGCCGCTCGCGCATCCACCTCCCCCAGCCCAATCACCATAGTGGTGGCTGTTGCCACAGACGACACCAACAATTCATCAACGACATTGTTTTTCGGTAAACTTGGCGGTGGCGGTGAAAGAAATGGCAGCAACACTATTGTGTGCATCAGCTCCATAGCAACAGCAACAGCCTCAACCTACCCAACCAGTCGCGTCATGACTCAAAAAGGAAGGCTATAGCTCCTCATAAACCACATGAAATGGTTGGGGATAATAACAATGAATTCCATGAGATAACCATCCCATGAACAATTATGCAACTGTAGAAGAAACAAGTAGAAAAAAAAAGAACGAAAGAGCACCCAACGGCTTGATAAAGGAAGAAAATTGTGAGAATTCCCTTCAAAGATATGAAGGGTTTTATAGGAATGGAAATGGACAGCTATGTGATGATACCCTTTCATATTGTAAGAAGATAAAATAGTGAAGAAGACTCAAGCATAGTGTACGTCCCTTTCATATTGAATACAAGAAGATAAAATAGAGAAGAAGACCCAAGCATAGTGTACGTCCCTTTCATATTGAATACAAGAAGACAAAATAGAAAAGAACTCACCTAGTCGCGTCCGCAGGGGAGGATCTCCTCCTTAGCTACAGTTTGCTTCCGTTCAAAATTATATATTATAATAATTCGTTGTAAATAAATGCAAAAAAGTGGGCCTAGACTGCGAAATTGTGGAGCTGGAATGGTGCATGTAAGTCCAATGTTCATTCTCGCCAAACTAAAAAAAACCTTTCCTTTTAATTAATTTATTAATTGCGCATGTAATTCCAATGTCCATTCTCGCCAAATTAAAAAAAAAATTTCCTTTTAATTAATATTTTGTATATACTTCATATTATTGGTGTTTGCAGCTACAATTTGAATGTGTACCACAATGTTAAAGTATAAAATCAATTTGTATTATAAAGTAATTTGTACGAAACTATGTAGCTACAAACTGTACCATAATGTTAAAGTTATACGTTCAGTTTGTATCATAAATGAATATGTATGAAAAATATAGGTACAACTAAATTTGTAACATAATATTAAAGGTTCAAGTTCAGTTTGTACTATAAATTGTTGTACAAAAAAGTATAGACACAAAATGAGCTTGATTATAGCGTTAATTATAAAATCAATGTTAAAGTATAAAATCAATTTGTATTATAAAGTAATTTGTACGAAACTATATAGCTACAAACTGTACCATAATGTTAAAGTTATACGTTCAGTTTGTATCATAAATGAATATGTATGAAAAATATAGGTACAACTAAATTTGTAACATAATATTAAAGGTTCAAGTTCAGTTTGTACTATAAATTGTTGTACAAAAAAGTATAGACACAAAATGAGCTTGATTATAGCGTTAATTATATAAGTTCAATGCGTATTATAAAATTCGTATCATAAAATTCGAATCAATTGGTGTCAAAAATATTTTTATTTTAAATGAAAGCAACAATAGTAGGTATTGTAAAATTCATCTATATACATTTATTGAAATTATTATTAGCAGCGGTATTTTATTGTATCAATTTAACTAAAAAACAAATTAATTGTACTAACAAAATGATATACATTTTGATATTCTAGGAATTAAAAAGTATGTTAGTTTATCATCATAATTCATATATAATAACATCCCATGAACTATCAATTCTTCTATAATGGTACCCGATCTATGCGGCAATTCCTAATCGTATTCTCCATCATCATCAATTTTTGTTAGATTGTTATGAAAGCGAGTCTCATCTTACTTACTGGACTTTGACTAAGCTTCCAATCTTTCTAAAGTCAACTTAGAATGGTCATGATACTCCCCACCTAATTCATGATTTACAAATTAAAAATAAAACCACCACAGATAGAAATTAGCATTCATGGCAAGTTGAATTATTTTCATTGTCGACCAGTAAACTTTCCTAAGCCATTTTAAAAAATTGGGAAATAAAAGCGGCATATATATATAAAAAATAAACGTATTTATTGGAGAATAGTCAACGTCTATAAATTATTTATTAAGTTTTCAATCTACAAATTATCAAATTTTAATTTTGGTCGCTAGGTTGTTTTTGTTTGCATTGGGGAAAGAAAAAATCTCATAAAATGTTCATGAGACGTAAATTCTACTGCATGTAATGTTTAGTGTGCTAAATATTTTACTATTGAAGATTGACTTATGATGATAAAATATGAACAACCTATTTTGAAGATACAAATTTCGTTAAGGAAGACAAATGCATTATAATTGGTGGAGATGAAGATCTTTAGAGGGGCAAAGACAACAATCACAAGAAATCAAAAATAAATTTTGCAATAATGCATGACTTTTGTTTTTACTTTCAGTAATGACTTTAGTCAATACATCGGATTAGCATGTTGAAAATTATATCAGTATGATTTTTCAAAACTTAATGATTTGAAAAATTTTATGATATGAAATAAGACATGCCTTTCTTCCAACAATTGTACAATTAACAAAATTCATCCGGCCAATGGGCGGGCCCAAATCTAGTTGTTTATAACGGTAATAGTGCATTTTTCTCTAAGTAATCACTACACATATTTTGATATGTCATATTATATTTCCGCTTTTTGTTTTGTTTTTTTGCCAAAGGCCTCCCACAAGATGGAAAATCAACAAAATACGAAATATAAGTACAAGACCATTGCAAGTCAAATTACAAAAAAATAAATAAAAAAGAAGCGTCGGAGGATCCAACGACAAGAGGGCTTTTTTTGCCACGACATGGGCAGCACTATTTTGTTTTGATTAGGAAGATACGTATGATTTCAAAACCATAATTTATTGATGATGTAGACAAACTGAACCCTCCGAACATGTTGCCATTCCTTCAGGCTCCAGCCTAGCCACGAAACAGACTTGTGTAGTCTGATTTGGAAGGGAAAAAACGAACCTAAAAAGCCCAGGCCCAGCTCAAAAAGCTGAATGGGCCCTATCGTAACCGCCACGAAACGTAGCCCACATATATATAGTCCATCACAGGTACTCCGTCCTCATTCACCGTCAATACAAAAACCACCTTCAGCCAATTCCAAGTACCTCATTTCTTCATCGCTACTTTTTCTCCTTTCACGCGCTCGAACAAACAGAGACGACCGTAGCCATGGAAGCGAAGCTTGGCAAGTTCTTCGAATCCGTCACCAACTTCTTCACCGGAGGCGATCAGATCCCTTCCTGCGACCGCGACATCGTCGCAGTAAGTTCGATTTCCCATTTCGCTTCACACCTCCTCTCGCGGCTCGCGCCTTCTGCCTTCTCTCGTTTCCCTCTGTTGTTTTATCGTCTTATCAAAGAGGCGTGGGTTATTCGCTGTTTCAGCGAACTTCTATTCAGCCTGAAATTGAAAATCGCGTCAAGAAACAAACAATCCACCTAGGGTTCACTGGGAAAACTGTCGCGATTTTGTAGAAAATTGATTCGATGCCGTGTGATTGAGCTCTGTGTTCTTAGTCGGACTGAAAATGGGGTTTGAGTGGAGACCGAGTTTCCTTTTATGTAGCTTTCGGAAATTCTGCCCGTGCCGAAAACTTCATGTATTCTTGTTTACCTTGACGAAAGGTGTAATCTGTGGAGAGGAGCTAGTGCACCTTTGAGAGTAATGGGATAGTTCCTCCGGTTCTCTAATTTGGCTTTTTTTTTTTACTTTCCTTCCGTGTGTTCTGTTGAGCTCTATTTGGTTTCCGTTTTAGTATACTGGGTTATCTTTCCGCAGAGTTGAGGTTGCTTCTATCCTGTTAAGCGATGGTGCCTTCTTTGGCAGGGTTTCATTATATGCTCTTATAGGCTATAGCAGTACTGCTGTGGTTTGAATGTCTTTGCTGATATATCTAGTCTGCACAAGGTTGGAGTAGAATTAGAACGTGGGGTTTTAGACCAGACTCTGGACTTCTGCATCCAGTAGGCAAAGATTATGTGTGTGAATCCGATCCTGAAGACTATCTGCTTGCAAAATATGTAACCTATCTAGAGTTGTGGAGTGACGAAACTTCTTGTCACTCATCGTCTTTCCTCGTAAACTGAAATGGGGAAAGTAGTTTCACATTGTCTTTGGGAATCTGGTTCTCCTTCTGATTTGCTTGTTATCATGACCGAATCCGCACAGTAATATCATATGTTTTCCTTTATGTATGCACTGAGTTATTGAATTGGTGCATCTACAGGGTTGTGAACAAGAGGTTCGCGAAGCTCAGGAGGGTTCCAACGAGGAATTGAAGAATGAGTGCATCATGCGTCTATCTTGGGCTCTAGTTCACTCGAAACAGCCGGAAGATGTTCAACGTGGCATAGCTATGCTTGAATGTAATGTTCATATTCACAATGCTCACCTACACTGAACAATTGCACTGGCCTATACTTTTATTTGCTCATAGAATTTTCCTCTGCAACTACAGGGTGGTTGATTTTGTAGCCTTTCTCATCGTGGTTTCTTCCTGTGTAGTTTATTGACTGTAAAAATGTGTTGCATTTGCAGCTTCTCTGGGTACTAACACCAGTCCTTTGAAACTGAGGGAGAAGCTATATCTTCTGGCTGTTGGATACTACAGATGCAGTGAATATGGTAGGAGCAGGGAGGTGGTAGAAGAATGTTTGAAGGTATACCATCCTGTCATTTTAGTTCCCCTCCCGTGTTATCCAATGTTGCTCATTATGGGTGGTTTACGTGTTCTCGATCATACTATGTGAACTGAAGAGAGGAGTGCCCTGTGTATACAACAAAATGGATATGTTACCATGTGTAGTTTTCTGATATACTCGTTTTCGACACAGATTGAACCTGATTTTAGGCAGGCACAGACTCTGAAGAGAGCCATTGAAGATCGTATCACAAAGGGTATGCATTGTTAGAGCTTTGATCATATAACTAATAACAGGATGAGTTGCTTCATTCGTTGGTTTGACATTCGGGCTTTTTTGGTTTGTATGCAGATGGTGTGATTGGGATAGGAATTGCCGCAACTGCCGTTGGATTAGTTGCTGGAGGGATTGCTGCTGCTTTGGCACGGAGGGGTTGACCAGACTGACTGCATAGGAGGAACACCAAACTCACTACATATTTACGTTTCCTCGTCGTCTCTTTTTTTTTTTTTTTTTTTTTTTGGGTTTCCCCTGGGAATATTAAGCTTAAACAGTTGGTTTAGCTTCCATCGGAATTACATTCTAGCTTGCTTTGTGAGTGGTTATTCGGTTGATTAGTATGATGAATAACTGAGGATCTTCTGTTTTTTTCCCCCACTCTTTCGAATTCACTACGAGAATTTGGCTTGTCTATCTGGTTCTTTCAAATAGAATGCTACTATTATTCAATAAAAGTTCCTCATCAATGGAAAGAAACCTAAACTTGTAGTTCTAGGGACGAATCATCCTTAATTAACAGCTACCATTAATACTAATCCTGCCCTCTAAACCAGCTTGGGAAGAAACTCCAGCAGCGTCTTGACGTTCTTGCCGGTGGCGCTCGATGTCAGCACCCCGACCACCGCCTTGAACTGCTGGGTGCCGACTCCGACGCCAGCGCTGCCGTCGACCGTCGTCAGGACCATCTGGTACAGCACGTTCACGCTCGGGACGATCACCTTCGACGCCGCCTTCTCCACGCCCACCAGCTTCACCTGGTGAACCGGGGCCCAGTGGTTGTGCGTCGTCACCGCGAAATCGGCGAATTCCCACACGCTCGTCAGGTTGCTGATCGGCTGCCACCCGCTCAATGGGGGCAGCGCCGGAAGCGGGGGAAGCAGCGGTGGAAGCAGGGGAAGCCCATCGGACGGCGTGGCTCCGGCCGAAAACGCGCCGGCGACGACGATGGAGACGAAGGCGAGAGTCGTGATCATTTGTGGCCTCATTGTCGATCACTTTTCCGACTGTCGAGACGTAATTTTCTGTTCTATGTGTGATTGTGCTTGTGGTTAGGACCGGCCACCGGAGGGGTATTTATATTGAGAATTTGGTGATTTTTTTTTTTTTGTTGTTGCTATGTATGGAGATTAATGGCTTTGTTGTCTGCATGCAATACAGTTATTTATGGTCAAACTTGAACGGAAGTCGACTAGTTTCTTTCAATGATGTTTAAACGTAAGTTTTCTACAACGGAAGATGTAGTAGTTAATGATAATTCATTCAACACTGTAGCTGATGCACTGCAAATTTGTTCATTGAGAATGCGAATTTGTTTCATGGTTTGTGGCTCGAAATTTTTTATGTGCGAATTTGTTTCATGGTTTGTACTTGTCTAATCTCTTACATTATAGAAAAAAGTTATCGACTTTATGAATTCCAATCCATCATATTCATATGCTATAAAAGAACCAACAATAAATTGTTAGAAGCACCATAACACAAAACAATATCATGTCAGCATCCGTCATCCTGAATTTCTAGTGTGAACTAGCTTACAAGGCAACAAAATCCAGCAATTAACATAATTAAACATTACTCCTTCACATCTAGATATGCCTCCAAAATAAAACAGACTTTAGATTTTGATCAAGCAAACTGACAAATTTTATTGATGAAAATTAGAGAATCCTAAATACAACGACTCTGACCACTGACTTGAGGCTAGGACTAGGGGTGGCAGTTCGGTTGTCGGTTAGCGGCTAACCGGACTGTTAGATCGATAACCGCCAGTTAGCGGCTAACCGAAAACCGACTGTATACAGTCTCGGTCGGTGGTCAGAGTGGCTGGTAGGAGAGTCGGCTAGCCGAGCAACCGAAATCGGCTAGCCGAGCAATCGAAATCGGCTATCCGAGTAACCGAGGCCAATCGACCAATATAAAACCCGCGCCCAAATGTCCACCCCAAACCCTATCCTCCTCCTCCTTCTCCTTCGTCGACCTTGATCCCTCCCTTCCCTCACCACCAGCAACCACCCCCCGTCTTCTCCCATCGGCCAAACCATCGACGGCGCCCATATGAAGCTCTCTTCCAATTAACCATTCCCTTCCCCCATCTGACGAACCCTAAATCCCAAAATTTTCGAATCCACTTCTCCCTGAATCTTCTTCTTCTCCTTAAATTTTCGAATCCCTAAATCTTCATCTTCTCCCATCAACCATGTCCAATTCCGATGCCGCAGCCATGATCGACCTTCTATTCCACCCTCACCTCCACAGACACCACCACCAGCACCAGCCGCCGCCCTTCCCTGCCTCCTCCGCTCCCCCTCCTTCCACCGCCACCACAACTTCCTCCACGACTCCGCCTCCAACCGTCGCGACCTGCATGCAAGCAGGCAGCCTCCACCCGCCACGCCGCGCTGCCTGCCGCCTCCAACCGCCGCCGCGCGAACGCCATCTCCCTCCGCCTCTGTCCGCCGGCTTCGCGAGGTCACTCCTCCCTCTCCCGTCGGCGGCAAGCCCTCCTTCTTAGCTACTTCTTGAATCTTGAGTGGAAAAGAAAGGAGAGAGAAGGATGGAGGAGAGAGACGGAGAAGATAATGAATAAGTGGTGGTGGTGGAGATACAGAATAAGTGGTTCCTGCATTTTTTAATTTTTTTTTTTTAGATTAGGGTGTGGTTTTCGGGCATGAGGTTAACCGAACCAAAACCGGCTAACCGACTGGTCGGTGGTCGGCTAGCCGCTGTATCTTTCACGGTCGGTGGTCGGTAGCCGGAGGTGGTCGCTCGGTTTAACCGATAATCAAAAAATCGGTTTTCGGTTAAACCAAAACCGACCGACTGACACCCCTAGCTAGGACTCTACTGGTGAAAACATATAAAAAAGGACCAACTCGAAACTTAACCAAAGCAACACATCAGCAACTAATCAACTAACTAACGACTACTTTATTCAAAACGTCTTTTTCCTTTTATTACTTATCCATTCTTCTCTTGACAGTCACCGGCAACCCACCTCTCATCTTGAGAAGCAGCGATAAGCTGTAAGGCGGATCCATCATCCTCTCCGGGCTATTCGCACCTCCATCGGTGGCCACAACTTCAAACTCCGCCATCACCGCCGCCGCAATCGCCTTCATCTGCACAAAAGCCATCTCCTTCCCCAAACACATCCTCGGCCCGCAGTGGAAAACAGGGTACCTGAACTGATCCACGGGCTCGTACCGTCCGTCGCAATCCAGCCACCTCTCCGGCTTGAATTCCCGGCAATCCGGCCCCCACACTTTCTCCGACCGACCAACCGCGTAGGCAGAGTAATCGGCAAACCACCCTTTCCTCACCTGAGTCCCGTCCGGCCACACGTCGTCGTTTACCACTAGCCTCGTATTTTGAGCCACCGGAGGGAACAGCCGCATCGATTCCGATAGAGCCGCGTGCAGGTAATTCAGCCCCTTCAATTCTTCGTACCCGAATTTGGTCCTCTTTCCGAGCTCCGGCGACGCGAGGGCAGTTGATAGTTCGCGGCAGATCAGGTCTGCGACACGTGGGTTCCCGGCGACGAGCCAGAAGAACCAAGTGAGGGCTGTGGAAGTGGTGTCCTTCCCTGCGAGGACGAAACTGATGACTATGTCTCTGAGAAATTTGTGCCTCTGTTTTTCGCCTTCGAACTCCATTGACGAGCTCCAAACCATGAATCTCGCCAGCAGATCTTGATGGTTCTGGCTTTCGATTTCTTTTGATTCAATGACTCGACGAGCGAAATCGTTGATCGTGTTGACCGACTCTTTGAACCGCCTCTCCGACCCGAGATTGAGAAACCTCTTGAGCTTCCAAAACAGAGGAACAGGGGAGGTGAACCTCGAGAAGCAAGTTTCCACCGCGTAGTCGAACGCGTTCATGAAATCGAGATTCCTGACGAACGACTCGGGATCGACGCCGAATCCAACTCGGCAAATGCTTCTGAAAGCGAATTTATTCAAAACCTGCTGAAGATCGAAACCCCTGTTTTCCTCCTCTGCTTCGGACAGAAAGGGAAGCAAGTTTTCGGAGATCTCCGAGTCCACCACTTCCGACACAAACAGTTTTAGCGACCTGGTGGAGAACTCGTGGCTGGCGATTTTGCGCTGGACGGCCCAGATCTGGCCGTCGGCGTTGAAGATGCCGTCGCCGAGGAGATCGTGGAGGACGGTGTGGAAGCGGGAGCCCTTGATGTAGTTGGAGACGTTTGGGGAAGTCAGCATGTGCTGGATGTTGTCTGGATTCGAAGTGCAGACGCCGGTGGAGATGTTGAATAAGGAGTTGACTTGAACCGACGCCGACGGCGTGCGGTGGAGCATCTCCGTGACCCAGTCGTGGAACCGGTGGAAGTTCCGGAGGAAGCTGATGATGTTTCCGATTACAGGGTAGGATCCTGGACATGGGTTTTTGGTTGCCGGACGTGATTTGAGGAGGAAGAAGAAGAGGATGGAGGTGGAGATGAAGATGAAGGTGAAGGAGATGTATTCCAACATTCTTTCCCGACCTTGTGTTCTTTTCCTCTCTTGCTAGCCTTACAATTGTCTCATGGTTTATCTAACTACAGAGGAGGGCTGAATTGGCAGACGACATGGGCGAACCAAAACTCGACCTGGAAGATAGAGACAAACAGGTAGAGTCAGGAAAAACAGGGGAAGCCAAAAATGGTTATTCAGAGTGGTTTGCCAACGAACTAATATGCATGTAGTTTGTCTCTGAAAGGAAAGAACGCTGTGGCGCAGGAAAGCTTATAATTTGTTTAAATGCAAACTCTTTGAGAATAGAATTTTGCAAAAGGACAGGCAGACTAGACACGGGACACCGAGTAGAAATACTTATGACTAGTTTAGTTTGGCATATTGTTAAATAGATGGATAGTAATAGGGGTGAACAAACACACCCGCAACCCGACCCACCCGTCCAACCCGACCCAACCCACCCGTATTTATCGCTAAAACGAAGATTTTGGGTTGGGTGAGGATTTTCTTTTGCACAACCCACCTCTTTTGGATTGGGTTTGGATTTTTTATTACACAACCCGTAGAACCCGACCCAACCCGTGTTCCAATTATTGGTATGAGTTCGTAACCAAAAAAATATTTATGTAGTATATAGTCATACTTATGTGAAAATTAAGATATTTTGCCATGTTTTTTTTCTCTTAAGGTCTCCCTAATCTAATGCATTCTTCGGCTTAAAGTTTAGACATAAATTTAATATAGCTATGATTCACGTAATTTTTTTTCTTGTGTACAATTTTAATAGAATAACATATTTTGGATGCGTTCATTTGTAACCTTTTTAGCCTATTTCAACAAATGTCATGAAAAAAACTAGACATAAGTTGAAGTAAATCAAATTTTATGAAAATTCAAACAACATTTGTGAATTTTGATACCTTTCACCTTGGTTTATTCGTTTGAATTTTTAATTAGTTATAAAATATTTTTATGAAGTAGAATAATTACATATTTTTGTGTTGGGTTGGGTTTTTATTTAAATATATCGCCAACCCGACCCAACCCAATTAGAAACAAACCGTAGGGTTTAGATTTTTTTGATTGGGTTTGGGTTTAATATTTCCCAAACCGTAGTGCATGGGTCGGGTGATTAAAATGTCTAAACCCAGACCACCCGACCCATGTACACCCCTAGATAGTAACGATTACATGTATTGATGAATTTGATGTATTATAAAATGCGTGGTGATTGTGTTTTCAATTGTGAGTAGAAAATAGGTTTGACTATATTAACAATTTCAATATTCAATTTGAGTGATGGTTTTTGTCAAATCAAGCAAAAATATATATATATATTATTTATAATAATGTATGTATTTTAACAATTTCAAAAAACAATAGAAACTTCTAAATGTTTTATCTTACGAAACAAAACTGAATTCATGAACAACATGCACAAATGAGCAATTTAAACCTTCATTTTGCAGAATAAATGATACCCTTAGAAATTCATTTATCATCTATAAAATATATAAAGGCTTTTCCAAAAACTACCTTCACCATTTCAAAATTCCCAAAGTACATAATAGACACCTTAGGAGGAAAAAATTACCAAAGTACATATTTCAAACAAAATTTACCCGGCCAACGGACCGGGTACCAAACTAGTTATCTTTGTGTGAGTTTGGATTCATATCGTGGTCGTGGCCTCGTGGGGTTTACCATTTTTGAACACTCTATTCTAACCAGAGGTGGCAATTCTCCCCACCAACCCATTAAAAATATTCACCTAATTCAATCCATTTCATCTAAATTCAATTGGATTGATGGATTAATGGATTGATCCATGGATCCAAATGACAAATTACGGTTTGATACCTATATTTTTTATATTTTATATTTTGGTAGCCAATATTTAATTTTTTATACTAAAAATATCATTGGAAAATTACGTTTTGTGACCTAAAAATTTTCATTATGACATTTTAGTACCTAAACTTTTCACATTTTACATATTGGTCCTTGGTTGAGGATGTTATTTGGATTCATGGATAATCCACCAATACACTTGATCCAATCCATGAATCCACCAATCCATATATCCACCAATCCATAGATTAATCCATTTGCCGTCTCTAATTCTAACATCACATCAATTCTTAGAATATCATCTACAATATATTAATGCATTCTTAAATAAGATTATTATCAAATGACTGACCATCAAGTATAGCGTACAATCCCCTCCACTCAAAAGTCAAAACATGAGGACCATGGCTTGGCTTCTGCCACCACTACTTTTCCTATGACTGCTTCTCTACTAGGTAGCCCTAATAACAAGGCGGCGCCTAATCAACCCGGCGGTGGATCCGGCTTGCAAATTGCAATTGATCCACCGTGACTCCTCCAACGACTCGGAAACGCTCTCAAGCGCTCCATCATTATGCATCCATTTAGCTAAAACAATAATATTCGGCTTGCCCAAAACTAATGCGTGAATCGCTATGTTACGAATTCTCAAATGTCACATTTATGAAAATTAGAAGACCTATGTGAAGAAGTGGAATGAACAAAAGTTACGAAGCACAAAAGCTAATTAATTCGCTCCACTGTCTAATTAAGACTCTTCGGTAAGGAAATTGGCTAAAGGCCAGTCAGAAGAATGGACACCAATCTGAAAATACATTTTCACTTGTAATGAATTTACTTACAAGGCAAGCTGCTTCTCCTTTCTCTCCCTCCACTCTTCAGACATCACGGAGAAGAATTTACATTTTTTCACTATATTCAACCAACACCAAGTACATATAGGGCAAAAAGATTGGCAATCACTGAATTTGAAAATGGTAAAAAAAAATTACAGCACAAGTTAAAAACATTCACAACCGAACCACTCTAACATCCCCTTCTCCATTGGTGAGGGCAATACCCTTAGCTGTTAGGGTTTGCGTCCTTTCATTTATATAGCCGAAGAGATCAGCTTAGTTCTCTCTACTGTAAACCCCCAATGGCCACGTGGCAGCGTGCCACCGGCCGTTACAATTAAGTACGGTTTACTTAATGGCTAACTACAGCTAATTAAAAGCGCTGTCATTCTCATTACAGGTTACTCAAAAACAATAAATAAAAAACGCGAAACGTTTCTTCCAATCCGAAACCTCCAGCCCTGAGTCCTTCCGCCACGAGGATTTGCGGTGCTGTGTTCTTCTTCTTCATCATTCTTCTAATATGGTCTATAGGTCGGTGACAATCTTCCGGCCCTAACTAGTGTGGCAGATCCTCGCCACCGATGCTCGACTTGTCGACCATCCTTACGTTGTACTGTTCGTAAACTCTTGCCCTGTTCTCAGCCCACCACTGCTCTGCCTGTTTTTCTGAAAATCGCTTCCGACTGCATTCTCAAAGTTACAGACTTTCAGTCGGATTGAAAGAAGAAGAAAAAAAAAGAGGGAGAACAGATGTAACTTCATCCTCGAGCTACTATTGGTTAACAGATCGATCCTAATTTCTGTTCAAAGTTGTGGATGACTTTAGATTGAATGAGTAAAAAAGAACGCACCTGAAGCGGACACGCTTGAGATCCTTGCCGCCGCCTGGCAAAGAGGTTAGTGTTATATACACACCAGCTTCATCTTGCTCAACCCATTCAGCTTCAGTGTGCGATTCACCGTCTTTCGTTCTGCCACCGCCGTTCCTCAACGTCGATTCTGGGTGGCTTTGTTTGTTGTTGTAACCGGAACTAAGGCTGCTAGTGGTGCTGGAACCGTTGGGGAGTGACTGGTTATTATTTAACATGCTCGTCGTGTCTAGCTCTTGGGATGTAACTTGACCATTTAAGCGGTCCATGGCAGCATTATTGGTAGGCATTTCATTCGAAGGATTGTATCCGAAAGAAGTGAAGGAAGGTGTCTTCACAGTCCTGGTTGCTCCCACGGGTAGTCTTTCTGCCATGTCCTTTAACTATCGAACGAAACAATAGACGAAGTCAGCAAAAAAATGAAATAACTGCCCTTTATTTGGAGTGAACAATGCACCACATATAACATATAACCAATGGTGGCTAGTTTAGAATCTACAGGGAAACATCAAAACTCGTCTTACTTGAGCAGTGAGTGACTTGATTACTTCCTTTGCTGCTTTGCATTTTGCAGTTTCCTCTCCTGCAACTGCAATTGCTTCCTTCAACTGTTTAGTTGTTCTTTCTAGCTCCACTTCTTGAAGGTGAGCTTTGTGAGTCAAACTTTCGACCTGAGATGCAATTTGGTTAGAAAGAACTGACGTTTGTGTTACTTCAAACAAACCAGTAAAGCAAATCAGTATACGATCCCGATAAAACATGAATGAAAAGTTATACGCTCCATGCCACCATCATTATACAAGTACATAAACATCCATTGAATATTATCAGCAGCATTGCTCCCACAAATAGGAAAACCCCAGCTAACTAATGAGTCGGGTGGTTCCAAACATAAGCCAAATGAGCACAACAATGAGATTCAGGACCGATACAAACAAACGAGTCTGGTCTAGAAAGATGCGTCATCCATGGAGCACAAAACCAGAATTGTACAATATGGAATCTTGTGCATCTTTAAGCTCAACTTTGTAACTGACCAGTTGAAATGAAAGCAAGTATACATGTCCCACAAATAAATCACTTCCAAATATTATTTCCACCTTCGAAAAGATATTGAAGTGACATGTGGAAAATAAAGCCAACAGTTAACTACATTTTCAAAAATCAGGTGACAAAAGGAAGGACCAGTACCTGAGCTCGTAACTTAGTAACCTCTTGGCTAAGACTGTCATTAGCCGTTTTATTATCATCAACTGCGATTTTGGGTGAAGTAAGGCCGCCCAAGGTTGGTGATGGTGTTGTTGACCTCGGTGGACTGGGCCGTCTAGATATGGGAGAGGTTGCTCGGGAAACAATTCTTGATCCAGGAACCGAGGCAGAGAAGAATTTCTTGGATGAACCTAACATTGGATTAAAAGATTTAGAAATATTCAGTCCTCCCCACTGTGACCCTCGATTTGGAACCGGCGACACACGGTTGCTGTTGAACTCTAGTTTTTTGTTTTTCCTGGATCGACTGTCTGCTTGCTTGAAAGACTCCATTGATGAAAATCTAGCAAGTTGTGCACGAGATCTCGAATCCAACTTTTCGTCTTTATCAGTAGGATCATTCGAGCCATGATTTATACTACCTCTTCTACTAATTGAGGAATGAGGCGACGGTGCCTCAGTATCCATGGCCTTCCTAAGTTTATTAAAGCAAGTATCACAAACACGATAGGGCTTGTGTGGATTTGGAGCCATGGAAGCTTTAAGCGACTTCTTGCTGCTGCATGAGTGACAGAAAACTAGTCCACAATTATAGCAATTGTGCCGTTTGCGTTTGAAATTGAACGGTAGCCGACAACCAGAACACATAGACTGATCAACACCTGACACCCACTTATGAAGGCATATAGCTGCAGTGAAATTAGCACCACATGCAATACTTTTAACTTGCTTGTCCTTCAGAGCTTCCACCAGTGTAGGAGAGTTTCTGTCATCCATATCCCCATGACCCAACCTACCATTTGCTCCCTTCCCCCAAGTATAAACTTCAGTTCTGGAAGTTAGAACTGCAACATGATAAGCACCACATGCAATCTCCTCGACAAAATTCTTTAACAGTTTCCCTTCAACACGGGCGGGAAGCTTCCCATCAGCTTGTGGGTTCCCTAGTTGACCATAAACAGGACTACCCATGGTATAGACCTGGCCAGATGTTGTGAGAGCAACTGTCAGGCTGTGCCCACAAGCAACTCTACAAAAGTTGGGTTCAACCAGAGCAGCAACACAAGTAGGAACAAGTTTGGCTTCCTTGTCACCATGCCCCAGCCTTCCTTTATCTCCATCACCCCAGGTGAACAACTTACCAGAAGAACAATTGCTAGAACTCGAATTACCAACCATGACTTCTACAACTGCAGCAGTATGCCAAACGCCACATGCTGCTCGTACTGTTCGGAGCCCCTTGAGAGATTCCACTTCCCTTGGCAGCGACACACTTTTCCTGTCTCCATGACCTAGAACACCAAACGTGCCATCACCGAATGTCAACAATTGCCCAGAAGATGTTACAACTGCTGTATGCCAAGGTCCACAAGAGATAGATGATACATGGATGCCTTCTAAGGGCCCATTCACTCTTTTTGGGACCCAGTGACTGACTACGTTTCCATGTCCAAGAAGACCAAAATTGTAAGTTCCATCACCCCAGGTATACAAATCACCAGAAAGCGTAACAGCACAAGTGTGATATTC